TACCCCCCAGGGCACCCCGCTACCCCTGAGAGCACCCCGCTACCCCCCAGGGCCTGTGGCCTGGGCCACCGCCACTTTGCTTCCCTGTCCCTGACAACTTGGTTCACCGCGGGCAGGTGACACACACAGGAGGGAGCACAGGGGATCCTGGGAGGGAGGGAGGGAGCTGTGTGTGAGGGTGGGGGTAGGAGGGAGAGGGAGAAGGAGGGAGCTGTGTGTGTGTGTAGGAGGGAGGGAGGGAGGGGTGAGAGCGCTGCCTGCCCGGCCGGCCGTGAGAAACAGCCAGCACCAGGCTGCAGGATGATGGATGGGAGCTCAGTGCCTGATCCCCAGGGAGCTACGCCCGTGCGATGAGTCACCTGGGCGTGGATGCCCAAGTCTGGCCGTGGTTCTGGGGAACTGTCTTTCCCCTTTAGTGTGCACACCCCTCTCCCCCGACGTGGCCACCAAGGACAGCTGCCTGGGACCCGCGTGGTGCCTCCACGCGCCCTGCCTGAGAACAGCGCTCAGGCCTGCAGCGTCCCCTCCGGACACGGCGGCCGCGCTCCCTAGCAGCCAGAGGTTAACTGGTCCCCCAGGAGGGCTGGGCTGGGTCCCCCAGGAGGGTTGGGCTGGGCCAAACACAGGAGCCAACCACGCTGGACTATGCCGGGCGATCACTTTCGAAAGGCACCTCTCAGAGACCAGCTCTTATTTAAGGCAAAAAACACAAAAGAAAGAAAATAAACAAAAACACCCGAGCGCAGAGGCGGCCCCTCACTAAAGCCCCCGCCGTCACGTGGCCGCACTCATCTCCCCGAGCCTCAGTGTTTCCTCCTTTAAAGTGGGGACGTGCCGCCCACTGCCGCTTCCGACGGTCACCGCAGAGGACAACCAAGGCCTAGAGCCCAGGCCCCGTCCAGGGCGAGGGCTGGAGGACGCAGAGGCCGCGTTCTGCGTGGACCCGGGCGGCTCACCTGGATCATCTCGGCCACGTAGCTCTCGGGGCCCGTGTACTCCGTGGAGTCCTTCACCTTCACCAGGACGATGAAGCACAGGTAGTGCCACATGTTGTGCTCCTCCTGGATGTGCTCCTCGAAGGTGACAGTCTTGTTGTCAAACTTGTCCCTTTCCAGGCCTGCAGAGGGCGGGAGGCGGCCCGTGAGCGCGCAGGCTGGGCTCCTGGGCCCCGTCGGCCTGTCTGTCCATAGGAGGGCTGGGCTCCTGGGCCCTGTTGGCCTGTCTGTCCACAGGAGGGGTGGGCTCCTGGGCCCTGTCGGCCTGCCTGTTCACAGGAGGGGTGGGCTCCTGGGCCCCGTCGGCCTGTCTGTCCATAGGAGGGCTGGGCTCCTGGGCCCTGTTGGCCTGTCTGTCCACAGGAGGGGTGGGCTCCTGGGCCCTGTCGGCCTGCCTGTTCACAGGAGGGGTGGGCTCCTGGGCCCCGTCGGCCTGTCTGTCCATGGGAGGGCTGGGCCCCACACCCGTCTCTATAGGGATCGAACCTGCAACCTTGGTGTGGACGGCGCTCTAACCAACTGAGCAGCCCGGCCAGGGCCCAGCGTATGGAAACTCTTTGTATTTTTCTTATGACATTTCTGTAATTCTGGAAATTATGTCAAAGAAAATGCATTAAACTATTTTAAAGGAAGCAACATCTTTAAGTTTTTAAGTGGAAAAATGCTCATTTGGGGGCTGGCCAGTACGAAATGTATACAGTGTTTGGTAACTGTGTTACGAACAGCCCTCAGCCCCTGGGTCCCGCACGGCTAGTTTCGTTCCATGGACGTCCTGGTCCCACGTGGTTACGTTAGTCCCATGGACGTCCTGGTCCCACATGGTTACGTTAGTTCCATGGACGTCCTGGTCCCACATGGTTACGTTAGTCCCATGGACGTCTTGCAGCCACTGAGATGGCTTTGGTGCCCACGCACCTCTCCCCGGGGACCTTCACTACTGTCACCCGCACCACGTGGTCCTGGCCTGGGTGGCACCTGAGCCAGCTCCCCTGAGTGCCACCCTGAGGCGGAGGGGTTCATGTCACCACACCCAGGTCACAGGGAGCCACTCGGCTCAGAGATGCGACTGACTACAGCGAGGATGTGCAGGTTGGGGCACTGAGCTCCCGGCACAGGGCTCAGAGGCCTGGCACCATCACAGTGACCCCCTGCAGCCTGGAGCTGGGCACGGGCTCCATCCTAATCTCAGGGCCAGGGGCACCCCAGCGACAAGACCCCGAGATGCACACATTTCAGGTCCTCCCCGCCGCCCCGGCCCAGGCAGAGGCCGGCAGCGCCCCGAGCCGCACTCACCGCAGATGAAGCACGTCGTCTTGAGGATCTCCTCCTTCTTCTGCTTCTCGCTCCTCAGGTCGGCGAAGGTGTCGATGATGACCCCGAAGATGAGGTTCAGCACGATGATGATGACCATGAAGAAGAAGAGCAGGTCGTAGATGACGCGGGCGGCGAACAGGGGCTCCTGGAAGGAGGGCTCGGTCAGCAGGCCCCACCTCCGCTCCGCAGTCCGGGCAGCGGGAGGGCCCTCTCAACACCAGGGGGCACCCCCACCCCCACATCACCCAGCAGCCTCCTGGAGCAGAACTTAAACAGGATGTCAAGCGCTACGAGGCCACCACTTGGCTGGGCGCTGACCCACGAACCAGGCGGTCATTGTTCGATTCCCACTCAGGGCTCAGTCCCCAGTGCGGGGCGTGCAGGAGGCAGCTGTTCAATGAATCTCTCTCATGATTGATGTTTCTATCGCTCTCTCCCTCTCCCTTTTTCTCTGAAATCAATAAAAATATATGTATTTTTAAAAGGCCACCATTGCATCTCTTTTCATACCCTGTGTCTAAGTTGTGTGCTCTAGCTGGTGTGGCTCAGTGGATAGAGAGTCGGCCTGTGGACCGAAGGGTCCAGGTTCAATTCTGGTCAAGGGCACATGCCCAGCTTGTGGCTCAATTCCCAGTAGGGGGCGTGCAGGAAGCAGCTGTTCAATGATTCTCTCTCATTATTGATGTTTCTATCTCTCCCTTTCTCTTCCTCACTGAAATCAATAAAAATATATTTTAAATAAATAAATAAAATCAATAAATTGTGACTTCTCGGAGTGCCCTGGGACCGCGTGGGCAGGGAGCTTCCTGGGAGCTCGGGGGTTGTGGGAACGTGTCCAGGTGGCCAGGCCCAACCCGAGGAAATGGTCACTCCAGTGTGACTGGGGACCAGCCCTGCACGGTGTCAGCGTGGCCGATGGAGAGGGAAGGTGCCCCCAGGAGCCGGCCCTGCCCGTCCATGCGTCCCCGCTCCCAGGCTGCCTGCGTGGCTTCTGTCTGTGCTCCAGCCCACCTCCCCCGCCCCCGGTCCTCTGGG